GCACTTCGACGGCGAGCACCCGAGGAGCTTGAAGGACGACACCGCCATCAGCATCGTGAACCCATCCCACGGGCAGCCCTTCTCGCGCAGCCAGCGGAGCGTGGGAATCACCTCGTCAAGACGAAAGGACTCAAAGACCATCGCCGGCACGCGACTGTCAAAGGGTACCCCGTGCCGCTGCAGCGTCTGCAACTTCTCGAGGTCGCCTTCTTGCGCCACCGCGAAGGACAGCTTCTCGTCTGTTGGGCAATTCTCCTCGAGGGCCCACACGACGTCATCCCACTTCCCTGGGTCGGAGGTGGAGGGTGCAGGTGGGGAGGCAGGGAGGTGCACAGGTACAGGTGGCTGTGGAGGGGGGCGGGCGTGCCTTCTATGAAGCACTGCAGAGCGACGTCTTCGTCGAGATGCCCGCCGTGCAACCGCGCCCACTTCATGAGCTCAAAGTGCCCGCCGTACGCGGCGGCGGCACAAGCTTGCCCCAGCGGCACACCGCGGTGCGCCAGCCACTCGAGCACGTCCTTCTGGTTGTGACACGCCGCCGCTTCTGCCAGGGACGCGTCAAGCGAGTAGCCGTGCCGCACAAGCCGCTGCAGGGCCTCGAGCTGCCCCTTGCCGGCCGCCGTCAGGCCCGGGCAGTCCCCAAGCGGCGCCCCGTTTTGGATCGCCCAATCGAGAACCTCGAGGTGCCCGTGCGAAGCCGCCTGCTCAACCGTGGAGAGGCGGCGTTCCTTGTTTTTCTTGTAGGGGCTGCCGTGGTGGCTCAACCGTAGGGACTCCCAAGCGTCAAGCGGCACAATCGACTCCCAGGGGCACCCAGCGGCACGCGCTCGCTGCAACAGCTCGAGCCGTCCGTGCTCGGCAGCGTACTGGCAGAGCCGGTCGGTCTTCAACGTCTCGGGCCAAGGCATGCCGGCCTGAACCGACCAGTCAAAGAGCGATTCGCTAGCACACATGGCGTGAAGCGACGTAAAGAGCGGCGATCCCGACTTGCGCTGCTTTGGCAGGAAGGCGTGCACAGCGTCGCGCGCCTCGCGGCAAGAGAGCGCGAAGGGGAAGGCGGCGTTCGCACCAATCCACCGGACAATCTCAATGAGCTCGTCGCCGCTGAGCAGATTGAAGCCTTGCGCGTCCTCGTCAATCGCGCCGGCCTCCATCAGCATCAGCGCGCACTGGCATGCGCCAGCCTCGCGAGCTTGTCGCAGCACCGGGACGCCGCCCGACATCTTGCTCCGATCGAGGCTCACGCGCCCGTCATCGAGCAGCAGCTTGAGAGCCGCGAAATGGTTGCCGCGCACGGACACCTGGAGCGCCTTCACCAGCTCGTCTGATGCAGCACCGAGGACATCGGCGTCCTCAGCAGCGCCGAGGAGGGCTGCCACCACCACCGCGTGGCCGGCACCGGCTGCGGCGCAAAGCGGCGTGCACCCGCTTGGGCCCGGGCTCAGCGCACTCACTCCGGCATCAAGCAGCGTGGCCACCGAATCCGCGCAGCCGGCGCGTGCCGCGTCGAAGAGCGCACTGCCACCGCAAGCGCCAGCTGCGAGAAGGAGCCTGGCGCAAGCCGTGTCCGCCACAACGCGCAGCGGTGGGAGGCGGTCGGGCGGACCAGCAAACGACACGCCATCCTCGACGGAGGTGGCGAAGTTTGGGTCAGCTCGCGCCTCGAGGAGCAGCGACATGCAAATCGCCGATCCCACCTCCGCAGCCAGGTGCAGCGGCGTGTTGCCCTCGGCGTCCGTGTGGCGCAGGACGCCGCGCACCTTGTTGCGCGAGCCGCGCGCGCTGGCGTCGGCAAGGAGCGCCGCCAACAGACGTGCGTCGCCAGCAGCCGCCGCATGGTGGAGCGGCGTGCTGCCTCCGCCGTCCACGTGGTCGACAAAGTGCTTGAGCAACGGGACCGGGCCGGAGCCGCGCGCGACGTCGAGCATGCACTCAGACTGGCACGCCTCTGGGTACGCGTGCGCCTCGGGGATGCTCAGAATCGTGCGCAGGGAAGGCTCTGCACGAAGGAGAGCTGCCAGCCGCTCCCATAGCGCAAACTGCCAGTCGTCATCGTCGACGAGCTCCCACTCGGCATGCGACAGCTCGCTTTCGAGCGCCGCAAGCGTCGCCGCGCCTCGGCCCTTTGACAGCACACACGGGAAGCAGAAAGTGGCGCCGCACGCCGAGCAGGTCCAGAGGTCGCCCCCGTGCTCGCAGGCGCAAGCGCACGAGAAACGCTCGTCGAGGTAGAGCGGCACCATCTCGTGTCCCGCGATCTCGCACCGAGTCAAGCACGCCTTGGTAGCCGCGCCGGCGGCGGTGGGCTCGAAGGACGGAAGCGACAGATAGGTGCGCAGGTGCGGCTTCGCGTTGAGCAGCACCCGAACCTCCTCCCACAACGCCTCGCGGCCGGCCACAGGCTCCCACTCATCGTGCGAGAGCAACACCTCAAGCTGTGCCAGCCGGGGGTCGCCATGTCCCCGCTGCTCAAGGGGCGACTCGACAGCAGCATCGTCCTCGAACGCGGCCGACTCCTCGAGTGCGTTGTGCACGGCGGGCGTCGGAGACCCACTGCGCGCCTCTTCCAGCTGCCTCTCAAGATCGGTGCGCGCGCGCTTCGCGGCGCGAATCTCGTCCATCAGCTCGCGCTCACGCTTGGCCGCGTTCTTCTCGCGCTTGGCTACGAGGCTGGCGTGGTACTGCACGTTGTCGGCGCAGTGCTTGGGCAGTTCCGAGCGGAGCATGCGCGCCGGGCAGCCTTGGTGGGCAAAGACGCAGCTCACGGGCGCGCGAGGGCACACGTTTTTGTGCGCGAGCAGCTCCTGGCGGGCGACAGTCTTCCCGCAGCCGAGCGGGCAGGGCATCGGCACCATTGGGCAAACGGTGAGGTGGTCGACCGCACGGTTCGAGCGGACTGACCCGCCACACGCGCAGCACAGCAGCAGCCGCCGCTCGCACACCTGTTCATGGTCGCGCATCCGGCCGGCCGTGTCGCTCAGGCCGCACCCGAGCGGACAGGAAAGCAACCGCTGCTGGCAGACAGCACGGTGAGCGTTCAGCTCCGAGATGGTGCCCGCCCAGTGGCAGCCAAAGCTGTCGCACCGGGAGTGCATCTTGTCGATCCGTTCGCGGATCTCGTTGGCGGGCGTGAAGCCACTCGGGTCGATCTCCTCGCAGCAGCACGGGCAAAGAGCCGCGCCGTCGTGGCTGCTGCTGCGCACGCACCACACGAAGAGGCACTTCTCGCAGGCAGCATGCCCCGCAGAGCACGCTGATGTCGGGTTGCACATGACCATCTGACAGATGGCGCACACGCACGAGGTGTCGGAGCCAAGCTCCACCAGGAGCGGCTCGACAGGGTAGCCGCTTGCAGCCTCATTCTGGGCGACGCTTGACACAGGCTCGAGCTCTGACGCAGACTCGAGCTCGATTGGCATACGGAAAGAGAGCACCCGAGCCGAGGCGCCAGCGTTGATCTCCGTGGCATACGAGGAAAGGCGGCGGGACTCCCGCATCCGTTCGCCGTGCAGCCACAAGTGCAGGAGGGAGGCATCGTCCACGGCGAGGGACCATGCCCGTGCGCGAACGCGTGGGATGAGTTGCTGTATGAAGCGCTCGACGGTGACAGCCTCAGGGTCGCCGACGTACATGGTGATTGTCCCGCTCTCACTCAGAGCGACGCGGACTATCATCGTCCCGGGCTCTCCAGCAGGCACCGACAGGCACCGACAGGCTCTCCAGCAGGCACCGACAGGCACCGACAGGCTCTCCAGCAGGCACCGACAGGCACCGACAGGGCGTCGTCCAGCAGCCAGGTCGCCAATTCTTTTTATTTTTCCCACCTTCTCCCTTCGACATCGTTGAGTGTGTGTGTGTGTGTGTGTGTGTGTGTGTGTGTGTGTGTGTGTGTGTGTGTGTGTGTGTGTGTGTGTGTGTGTGTGTGTGTGTGTGTGTGTGTGTGTGTGTGTGTGTGTTTGCGCGATGGCAGGGCAGGGCAGGGCAGCGGCGAGCAGCAAGTGGCGTCGGCGACGCGGCGAGGACGCGATGGTGACGTACACAGCGGCAGCGGGAGAGGACTGGATTAAGCAAAACAGAAACGCCAGTGATGGGGCGGGCACATGGTGGGCGCTGGCTCCGTGGCTGGTGCGGGCTCGGGACAGCCATGGGGCGCCAGCACAAGCAAGGGCTTACGCACATGCCACAGGCAAATTTGCGCTGCGCGTGTGTGTTTGCGTGCGCACGGGGACGTACGCGCGGATTTCACGCGGTGTGCGTGGAGAAGGGCATGAGAGGCGCCGGCCGCGCGCGGCTCGGCGTGTGCGAGTGCGTGGTTCGTGTGTGGTTTTCGGTGCCCGCCGGAGGGCAGCTGTGCCAGTCTTCGTGCCCCTCGCGCCTCGCCGCTCGCGGACGAGGTTTACAAGAAAGGTGCGCCCCCGCGCGCAGAGCACACCCACTCTCAGCACCGTCCACCGAGGACTGCTCCGTGGACGACTCGCGACGCCAACGCGGTGGGTCGACGCGGTGGGGTACAGGGGTAGCGGGTACCCGGTACTCCTTTTATGATTTATGGAAAATTTTATGGATTGCTTTTTGCTATGCGGAATGGCGAATGCCGAATGCGCACACTCATCACTCTTTATAGACTTTTGTTTTTCCGCTTTGTGTTTACTTTGTTTTGATTCGTCTATCAGAGTTTGCCCGTTTTATTTATATATTTGTTTTGATTCTCTGAATACTGAGCTTTCCACGGAAAACACGAATACAACATACTGGGGACACATCACGAGAGACGAGCACATCCAAAACTGGCTGGAATTCCGAGAGCGCGCGGCGTGTCGCGACCGACACTCCAGAGACGCGACCATGTGCGCGACTACAACAACTCGATACGATACCGATCGCGCGCAAGAGAGATGCAAGCCCGAGGCCGAGTTGCGCGCGACCTGCTCAGCCGCTGCCACAGCAGCAGCCGAGAATACCTGGCCGAGGAGGCTGCCTGGCAGCCTCTGACTTGCGGCTCACTTACGGCCTCCCGGCCGGCGGAACCGGCGAACGGTGCGACCCGCCGGCGCCGCCGGACCGGCCCCGATGGCAAAGCCGCCACCGCCGCCGGCGGGCGCGCCCGCGCCGCCACCAAAGGCCGGCGCCGCCGCGCCGAAGGCGGGTGCTGCGGCGGGGGCGGCCGGCTGCGCGCCGCCGAATGCAAAGGCGCCGCCGCTACTTGGTTGGGCCTGAGGAGGGGGGGAGGGGGGGGAGGGGGGGGGGTGAGCCCGCTGCTGCTGGTGATGCTGCTGCTGCTGCCGC